TCTCTTCTAAAATTCATCTTGAAACTTCATCTCCAATGCAACAGTATTAAGTGGTAGGGCCTTTAAGAGGTTATTAGGCCACGAGGGTTACTCCTTCATGGATGTAAGTCAGGGTAAAAAATGTTTGAAAGCCATGGCTTTGGTTAAATCTTCCTAATCCCAAAGTCAAAGAAGTTATCTCCCCTGCACTATGATGGAGACTTCAAGATGAATTCATTGGTCTAGATTTTGATATTTTAAATGGAAGTCAGAGGAATTTAGCTTAAAACCTCTCTTTACACAAAGCATGGCTGTGAATGACTGATGTCTTACTGAAGAAGTCAAACATTATGGTGACAATATCCCCTGTTTTGCAGGGTTGGCCCTAGATTTCATTTGTTGTATCCACTGCCAGCAACATTAACCTTCTTTTCAGATTTTTTTGTTCTTTTTTTTTTTTTTTTTAGCAAAATATTATTGTTAATCATGGCACCAAAATAATCAGGGATGGGTTTGGTACGCTCTACTTCACACTTCCAGATTCTGCCAAGGTCTTTTATGGAAGTGGGTGACACGTATATTCAGGGAACAGATTTCTGATTTACTTATTTATTTAATTCTACTTGTTATTATTATTATTTTTTAATTGACCAGATAGAGAGGAACTGAAGATGAGAAAGCAAGCCTCCAGATCTGAGACTCAAACCATGGTTGCTCATGAGGGAGTCCAGCACCTTATCCACTAGGCCACCTGCTAGCCCCCAGAGTTCTGATTTTAACTCATTGTTAGCTCTGAAAGATGACCAGCCTCTCTCTTCTCAACATTTTTTAGACACATGCAACTAATACCATTTTTAAAGATAAAGCATGATACTCACTGATAGAACAATAGGCACTCCAGCAGCAATGGCTAGAAACAGCTAACTCTGAGTGCAGTTGGAAATGTGAGAGCTGAGAGTTGGAGGATACACATGATATTCCTGCCCTAAACAGCCACGAGGTATTCCACCTAGTGCTGGGCCTATACAGAAGCTTGTAGGGTGCACAGATCTTCCAGGCACCACACACCCTAATACCTGTGTGTTCTGGGCAGATCCTTTCATTCACACTTTCAGAAATTGGTATAATAATGCTTTACTTGCAGAGTATTTGTGACTATTAGTTGAAAAAACAAATGTATAGTACATGAAACATTAAAGTGCAATACACTGCAACAATTATTGATACATAAACTTTTACTTGCTGCCTTTATTGCTGTATTATATCCTCTCGATTGGTCTTCCCTCCTGGACTAATTTCAGTTTTAATCACTTAGCTGCTTTAGATGCAAATAGGTTAAGCCTCTCCACCTTTCTTCCTTATAAAGACAACATTCTCCAGAACCCTTTATTTTTACAGAGGAAGTATTTCAATCCCCAATAGAACTAGCCATAGAACTGGTATTATGGTTCCATTGTCTGATTTGAACTGTAACAAATAAAGACTTTAGTCTCCAAATATCTCCCTTCTCTATTTGCACAGTATTAAATCATACTGCTGTTATAATTTTAGTGTTGAGAGTGTTTGAACTTTTCAGAATAACAGAAGGTTGGGTTCCAAGGAATTTCCAGTAGCCTTTATTTTAGAGATGAGAAAATTAAAACCAGGAAGGGATAAGTCACCTTCCCAAGCTTGTGTGTGTGTGAATCAGTTATAATAACTTTCCCTTTGTAGATAAGGAAACAGAAACTCAGACAGGTGAAGTAGGGTGAAGTAAGTTAGTTTTGGTATAAAAATATAACTGTCTTGAAACAAACTATGAAATCAAGCAATAAAGTGCTTCCTGAAGTAAAATATGTACCTAAAGTTAAAAGTAAAATGTGATGGGAGTGTATTTCATAAATATCAATAGTAAACTGATGTATTTTTATTTCTCTATTAAATTACAATCACCAGCAGCCTTAAATTTTCAAAGCTAGGCTCAAGGCTTATTTCTTAAAAGAAGATCAAGAGTGCTGCCTAAAGCAAAGAGACCTATAGTGAGCTTTGAGATTCAAACTTGAATTTCTTCAGTCTCTTGCAAGACAATAGTTTTATGAGCCAGAAGTTGCCAGAGAGAAAAGAATTTTCTAAATTATTTTATTTCATTCTTTCATAACTGAAGTAGCTTTTTTGTTGGGCTTGATTATACATTGTTATGTAAGGGAGAGCCCACTTGGATCATCAGAAGGGGAAGAAGACGGTCCCATAGGTTCCTAGTGAATAGTGCAAAAATGAAACAGAAGGAACAAAATGGGAGAGCCAAACACTGATTCTCTAGTTCGCTCTTGGTCAAGTTTAAATGTGCATGGTAAATGGATGTGGTCATTTGTATCATTTGACTGCATTGTGTTCCCTCTCCCTATACCCATGCCATTTTACTATATAAATCTGCATTGCACCCACTGCCTGTCATGCATGTAACTCAATTCTGAACTCAACCATTAATTTGCTTTGGCATTAGATTCAGGTAGAGATAGCAAGGAGCCAGTTTTGAGCCTAGACTCTGAGAAGGCTTCAGATTTCTATTTGTTGTTTTATGCCTCTGTCATTACCATGAGTACATGCCCAGACTAGCTACTGGAGAGTGAAACACACATGGAGCATAAGTGACTTGCTTTGAACCTTTCAGAGTAGCTTTGATAGTGAATCACCACCCACTCACATTAGTAAACCCAGCCAAGGTCAGCAGAGTTACCTAGCTGATCCCCAGATTACTCCAGATATGTGCACGGTAAGTTAATCTATATGTCTTCAAAGTTCATGGGTTGTTTGTTATGCAGCTGTATTTCAGCAAAAGCTAACTGGTACAGTGGCTTTAAAATATAATTGTCTCCCCTAATCCACAGAGAATATATGCAAGCACTCAATGGATGCCTGAAAACCATAGATAGTCCTAAGCCTTAGATACACTGTATTATTTTTTTCCTTTAAACTCACAATATGCACAATCTATGATAGTTTAATTTTTAAATTTGGCACAATAAAAGATTAACAACAATAGCTACTAGTAAAAGAGAGCAATTATAAAAATATGCCTGCATTACTATTCTTGACCTCTCCCCAGGTTAGTCCCTGCAATAATAAAGAGAAGATGGCCACCCTGGGGTCTTGCTCTTCCTGTACACACCCACCATCCTCCCTGTTTCTGTTGGTCATACTGTGATAGAGCACTAGAGCTTGGCCTGAGGCCAGCTCCACACCTTTGGTCATTCCAGCTACTAGAATTACAATACAATTAAACTTGTATTCTTTGTAAATCACTCAGTCTCATATTTCTTTATAAATCACTCAGTCTCATATTTCTGTCAGTTCTATAGCAGACTAAACACTGGTTGCCGTAGGCTGCACTAAAAAGATAATAATTGGAAAAAGTCTAACAATGTCCTTGTAGTATATTGTTCTTTCTCTTTCTTTATTTCCTTCCTTTTCTTTCCTTCCTTCCTTCACCTTTCTTCTTTCTCTCTTTCTTCTTTCTTTCTTCCTTTATTTCTTCTTTCCTTTTTAGTTTGCTATAAGGCAAGTGTGCCCAATAGAGAGAGACAGAGAGAGAGGGAAAGTGAGAAATCACCCCCATGGAAGATAGCTAAGCCATCATTCTTTCTCCTCAGTTTTCCTCTTGGGATTTTAAGCATGCACACACATGTACCCAGTGTGAATTATTTATTTTTTTGGAGAGGTTTTCACTATAGGGCACTTGCGCTCACCAGAAAGACAGACAGACAGACAGACAGAAAGCGAGAAATCAGCCCCCAGGGGAGATGACCATGCCACAATCCCTTCTCCTCCATTCTCCTCTCGGGATCTTGGGCACGCACGCACACACACCCAGTGTGAGTTTAAGCCACCGGGTCTAGGACTTGAACTGCAGTTGACTACATGGGAGTCTAGCAACATAGCCATTACGCTAACTGCTGGTCCCCCCCCC